TTATTTTTTGAGTTGTAGAGTGAGAATGAAATAAAAAAACTATCTTCCTCATTTTGTCTCTTGACTTCAACTTTTTCAAAAATCTAAAAAAATTTAGATAAAAGTTTTTTAAAAACACAGAAATCTTTGTTAGAATTTCAGCTTCAAAATAAGCCTTCGAAAATTAAAAAAGATTAATCCGTCTTCGGAATGAGAGAGAAAGCAGGCACGAAATCATGCAGGGGAACGATAAACTTTCTATTTTCTTTATATTACTCGTGAAACATTATTATTTATTATTCCCCCGCATGAATTCGTTCCTGTTTTCTCTCCCATTCGCAGCCGCACGAAGCCAGAATCGAGTTGTCAGAGTTGAATTTCAACGCACCAATCGGTCGAAACATGGCTTTACATTTTTAATGATAATTGAAGACGGATTGATCTTTTTTAATTTTCGAAGGCTTATTTTGAAGCTGAAATTCTAACGAAAATTTCTGTGTTTTTAAAAAACTTTTATCTAAATTTTTTTAGATTTTTGAAAAAGTTGAAGTCAAGAGACAAAAATGATCAAATTTGGTAATTTTTTTCATTTCTTTCTCACTCTACAACTCAAAAAATAGTTAACGAAATGACTTCAAAGACGGCTTATTTTACGCAAAATTTAATCAGCTTTCTAACCGTATTTAAGTTTTTTTTGTATCTCCTTTTATTTACGTGATGTGATTAACAAAGTGATGGCATGTTTTTTTAGTCGCGTGTAATCGTCCTGATACTCGTGAACGGTAGTGTATACGTGGAAGAAAGGTTAGAATTATCGTATTACACTGAAACCTCACTTATTTTAAGTCTCGTTTACTTAAAGTCGCATTTATCTGAACCCCATTTCGCTTCAGTTACTTTTATTTAGGATCAGCCCTGACCCTCATGAGCAGTGCGCGACCAATGGAAAGATTCTTACATTTCCATTGGTTGAGTTCAAACAATCCAGTCAATCATGTCAATTTATCGAATTACGTCACCAACATAAGTTATGCCTACCAAAGTACAAAGAAACGCGACACTTCATGTCGAATTGTGTGAGCTGTGTTCAAATAAGTGAGGTTTCAGTGTAGGATTTCACAACCAAAAACTGGCATCTTATTCTTTTCTAAAGATAAATAAGATTATTTCTAATGCAGATACTAATTTTTGTACACCGAAGGTTGCTTAATTTATAACCAACTTATATTTTCGTATTAATGTTAAAATTATTAACACAATGCACTGAAAATCCCAACATTCTAAATAACTTTTAGAATAAAGATAATCAAATATATTGAATATTAGAAGAAAAAGTTTCTCCGTGTAGCACTCGTTCACGTCTCTGGCTACAAAAGCCAACGTAAATACAAGGATAATTTTTCGATAAACTTTAATAGAGGGTGCCAGCAAAAGAATTCCGACTTTTCCATTCCCGCATGTATTTTTGGACCACCCTATTGCCTTTTCGTTAGCCTACCAGCGCCAAATAGACGAATGGACTTGAAAAATGATTAAATTAATTTATTTACCTTACTTATTGCTTAGGCGTTTAGCTAACTGATTAGGCAGTTTTATATTTGCCTAAAACTGTGTAGGAATATAGAAAGATAACTATTACCAACAAATCGCAAAGAGGAAATTAAAAGAATAAATTTAATTTAATAAATATAATAAAGTAGGAAATTGTTCCTGGTAGTCTAAAACAAAAGCTATTTTATCCCACATGCACACGGAAAGAAAAGGTCTGGAAGAGATATCCATAAAAATATTGTTGAGCAGAATATTGTTGTGTTATCCAATTCAATGGATGAGGGAGCCATATTATACTGTTGAATCAAATCTGGATGTGACATCCATAGTCATGGTTGGGCTTATAATTCATGCTATGGATTTTCACATATGGCTGCCTCATCCATATAAACTTTGGTTGGGAGATCCATAGTCAGTTCGAAATTTCGATACATGTTGCGCGCAATTCATTATCATGGAATCCACTTAGAAATGGTCGTCTCAATTTGTCCGTCGCGTCCATATAATCGCGTTGTGAGTTTATTGTGTATAAATAGTGTTTTAATTGTTTATTATTGTTATTGTCTATTAGTGTTTATGTAAATTCATTTTCATGAAATGTGTGTAGAGTATATAAGGAATATTATATGCTCAAATATAGTAGTTGTGTGTATAGTGTAGTGGATAGCGTTAGTGTTTAGTATGCGTTAGGTCTAGGGTTCGTGTCTCCCCCATCGGTTAATAATTTATTTCGTTAATATGCGGTTATTCAATAAGTGGTGTGTATTAATTAACAAAAATGTGTATAAAATATCTCAAGTGACATTGAATTTAATTAATTGAGTGATTCAAATTGTTTTGTTTCCCATTTCCATTACTATGGATCACCTTAACTATGGATATCCCGTATTTTTCAATATAATATGGCTGTGATATCCATGTATCTGGATGTGTCTACTATTCCTTTCTCTCCGTGCATAAAAATGGCGCTTTTAATTAGCTGACGGAGTAATGAAAAATGCTCCCATGCGTTATTTTTTCCTATGGGAGAAAATGAACGTCATGTTCATACAAGTCGAACAAGTGAATGTCTTTTACTCTCTGTCGTCTGCTATTTACAATCTCCACTTTTGTGAATTAGGAATAAAAAGTATCGTAAGTAACACGGGAACAAAGGCAGCTCAATTTGTTTACTCGTGTCACAAAAGTCACCGTAAACAAATGTCTGCCTTTGTCCCCTTGTTGCTTAATATACTCTCTTACGATTTGTTGGTAATACTTATAGCTAAATAGCTAAAAGCTTGAGCTATTCAGGAAAATAAACGAATTTAATAATTCTTCAAGTCCATTTGTCTACTAGGTGCCGATAGACTAACTGCCTAGGCGTTTAACCCCACACAGTACTGAGAAATTTCCGAAACTTGACAAGTTTAAACCCAGCGAGGTTAGAAATATTGAATGGCGAGACTCATGGAAGACTGCGTGGTTATTTAAATGTCCGCATATAGGGAAATATTGAATATCAAACTTGAGTGAAAATTATTACTAACTATAATAATCGTCGTATTCATTCATTCATTCTGTCCACACCTGAAGTTAGTCATGGTTATTCTTTTGTTTTTTATTCGTTTTGATAAAAAATAGAAATAAAATATGAAATAACGATTTTTTAACAAAATTCATGCTTTTGTTTTTTTATATGTTTTGATAGATAATATTACATTTCTTTATTTTGTTATTATTCTTTTAATCCTAATATTATTTTTATTTCTTAAATAATTCAAAAATATTTTTATTAATCTAAAAAAATTATTAATATTATTATATTATTCATTATTTCCTTTGTTTTTAAAAAATTAGCATTTTGTAACAAACAGTTTAGAAAATTAACAAATGTAAAACCTGAGAAATATTTTCTTTTTTTTAATATGAAAAACTTTATTACTTGACAAAATTTTGACTTCTTCCTTGACTCTAAAGAATATTCTGATTAACTCTAAAAATGATTAGATACTCCAAAAAATATTCCATTAAATTTATTTACGAATTTCTTTAATTCTAAAATTATTTGAAAACATCAATAACTTCTTTTCTAAATAAATTTTAATCATTATTATTTTCCCACAGGAATAAATTATTTTTAATAATTTTTGAAAAAAGTTCTTTGAGAATTTTAAAATCCATTTGTTTACGAAATTTAAATTATTCAGAAATTCTTCAACTGAATACGAATTAAAAAATAAATACTTCAAATAATTTCAGAAATAAATTTAATTAAACTTTTTTAAAATAATTAATAATTCTACAGAATTGTTAGTTATAAGTACGAAAAATACAAATTTTTAAAGAATTTGATTTGGAACCATTTTAAAATTTAATTATTTCTTAAAATTTCATGCTATAATGCTTTTAATATTCAATTATTATGTAGAACTTTAACTGAAATTCATTTTTAAATAAATTTTAATGCAAAAATAAATAATTTATTGAATAATTAAAATTTCTTAAAATTTAAGTCTGATAAAGAATTTTATCAAAACATTTTTAAATTCATTTTTTGAAGGCACAAATATGAAATTTTATGCAAAGTTAGCAAAGCAGTGATATAGTTTGTAAATTTCAATTTTTAACGAAATTTTTTTTAATTTTTGAATTATTTTTGTGATTAAGTAGTTAAGTGATTAAGTACCAGTTTTTATTGTTAATAGGCATTATTATTAATTATCTATTAATACTAGGAGAAACTACACGCGCGTTTTTTTGCTGTCACCTGTAATAATTTCAAAAGATAGCATTTTTGTAATTTTTCATAAATTTTTCGAAGAATTTTTTATTGAAATTTTGTAAAGATAATCAAATTTCTTTTGAGTAATGATAATAATAATAATAAATTAAATACTTTGTTTGGCGGGCGTGACATTTACTACTTATTTATATTATTTATAAAAAATTTTAAATTTTCATAAAATTCAATTATTTTTAAAATTTTTAAATAAAAAATTATTCCAAAATAATTAATAAACATATTTTTCATTATCATCTCATTGGCATTCACGCTTTTATTAATTTTCATGTGACATGTAATGTAAAAATTACATTATTGTTATATATATGTTAAAAGTGAAACAAGAAACTTCACGCGCGTTATTTGTGCTAGTACTGGAAATATTGACTTGCCACGTTTAGGCAACATTGTGTCAATATTGCATGCAATTTTCGCCTAATTATTAAAATTTTGTCTGATAATATAAACGTATAAATCAATATTGCCCGAACATGGCAAGTCAATATTTGCAGTGTAATTTTCGCTCTAGTTTGATATTTAATATTTCTTACATGCGGATATTTAATAAAAACTTGTGGTCTGACTGACCCCATATGTTCTCGAAGGGTTAGAATTATTTTTAGTTTAGAAGTTGCGAAGTAAATAATTCTGTAATATGATAAAAAATATATTTAGTATGTGCGTTGACAATATTTTTTTCTTACAGAATATATGTTTTTACAAAAACTACAATAGCTGTAAATATAATTAACCTTGATGTGAGCAATGCAAAACCAATTTTTCTTAAAGTTCTGTGGCTTCTATACGCGGTATAAACATAGTTTACTTATTTCGTAACTGTACATGTACATATTAAAACAGTTTATTTATGTTTTAAGGTTTCTCCAATTATTGGTCAAGTTTCGGACTATTTTCAATCTGATAACAAGTTAACAGCTACTTTTCAAAGATTCGGAAGCGTAGATATTTATTACACACACCATAAAAGTTTCCTTCTTTTCATAATGAACAATATTTCAATTCCCGATAAAATGCGAGTGCAAATCATTCGCTTGTGGATTGATCAAAGTAAAAGTGATGAAGAGTTTGCTCTACTCATAGAACAATGCATCCATCAAGGTTATAATGACTTAAAAATTGTGAAAATTTTAATGGTAATAATGATTAATGGTAACAATACACGGAAGAAAAGTTGTCGAAACTTTCATATAAATTAGCCAGTCACAATCTCAAAGTTTTATTTCTAAAATTAAGACTACTGAGTGACAAATACAGAAAATTACTATTTGTAAGCAGTTTGAAATTAATTCAGAAACAAACGTTCACGCACAGAATTTTAAAAATTCTATGGCTCGTTCTCCATATTTTAACGATGATTCTCAGTTATTAGAAAACATTAAGTAAAATTCGATGAAAAATGGGTCTGATATAAAAGAGAATGACTAGTTTTTGAAAGTTTCGACAAATTTTCTTTACCGTGCACTATAGGGATCATCCATAAATAACGTTACACTGATTTTCGGGCTGTTTGACCCCCCTTCATTGCAAATTATCAACCTCCCCTCCTAAATATAACGTTGCAAAAATGACTTATACCCCCAAAAATAAGAAATATATTATGTTAATGTTTTTAAATCGATTATCGGAAGAGTAGTAAATGAAACACTTGTATCACTTGTGCAACGTTTCGGTGTCTTGGTTTGACACCATCATCAGGCCACTAGTCATTTTTTTAAAAAAAGTTTAAAAAATTGTTAAAACAAATAATTCGTTACATTTGTAACTCGTCTTAAAATTCGTCAATGAAAATAAGATATCGTTAAGACTGAACACTGCCATTTCTTGCGATTGACAAAACAAGACTGTCTTGTTTTGTCACTCGCAAGAAATGGCAGTGTTCAGTATTACTATAAGAAATATATTATTTTTCTGGATTAATGATTACTAAGTTTTCAAAGCAATGTGTGAAAGATGATAAATATGTGAATAAGAACATAGAAGTGCGCAACGTTACATTTTAAAATCACCCCCCCCCCCTTGTTGCAATCAGTTGGATTTTTCGACCTCCCCCCTCCCCTAATCATGTAACGTTATTTATGGATGCTCCGTATATTTCGTATTTAAAAGAATATTTTTTCCGCAATTATTTTTTTTACAGATTTTTTAATATAATTATTATTCATATAGGGTAAGTGTATATCAATTTCTGCGGAACTTCAGTCAATATATCTTCTGGATAGAAAAATAAATATTTATGGCAAAGAAATTGAACTTAAAATTGACTGAAGTAATTATTTGTCTTATTAAGAAATTTTTATGAATATTAATACCCAATTCCAAAATAGTATTTAAACAATTTTAAATAATTAAATTGTATCATTATCATTTCTATATATCATATATCAAAGATATGATTTATAAACTATTCTCGTGTAGAAATTTTATTCCGATCATCTTAAAGTTTGGATAAGGTTGCCTTATTATTATTATAGGGTTCGTTTAAGGCAAACTTATGCGGACCTTATACCATTTATCCCGCTACACATCATCCGTTCTCTATTCAGGTTCCGGATACGGAAACCTATTTTTACTATTTCCTTACTCTAATTTTTATATTTATTTTAATTTTTATAAATTTCAAATTGGTTCTCTTAATATAAATAACTATTATAAGTTAAAATAAAGGAGATTTTATGATTATGGCCAGATCAATTGTAGAAAGATCCTTTGACCTGATTTTGAGACTAAAGAAAGGAAAGGACACAGACAGCTTCTGTCATTTTCTTTTGCATGACCTGTTCCCGTATCCGTATTCATTCTGCTTATACACGGAAAAAATTAGTTGCTGAAATTTTCCGCGACTTTGTAAAAGACTCTCGGATTTAGTGGAAAGTATTTAAATTTTTAAAGTCACTGAGTTTTAAAAATCATATTAACAGGTTGCAGGAAAAATAAACTGCATTCGAAGAGAATTTAGAAAAAGGATTCGAAACTTTCAGCGTCAGTGGCGGAAAATGAAAACACAGCCGGCTCGCTAACGATTTGGCGACAGTCGCGGAAATCTTGTTCTATAGTATTCTAAACATTCATTGATAGTCGCGGAAAATGAAAAATTCGGCCGGCCAATGAAAAAAAAATTCTTTCAGTTCTTATTTATTTTATTCTTATTATGCCTTATATTTAATTACACTCGTACATTTATACATAATCACGACACTTATCACATGTAATCGAATACTATTTAAACACTAATTTCCTACGTCAAACTAAATATAACTAACACTAACACGCATATTACCCTACGCTTTCGCAGTTTCGCACGCTACAAATCTACTTTTTCATCGTCCTTATATATTAAATGAAACATTTCTTTACCGCTTGCGAGAAAAAGTGCAATATTTTGAAAATTATAAATCTCCAATATTTTTGCTCAACATATTCTACAATTTTAAAGAGTATTTCAGTATGCGTTAAGGACTATTTTACACTTATTTCCATTTTATTATTTTTAATTTATCACATGTATAGAAGAATTATAATATTTAATGAAAATAATAATTAAACCAAACAAATTTTTTCTGTTAATTACTGTAAAAACTTCTTTAACGATTAATAATTATATTTTATATTATTGTATGTTATTATGTTTTCAATTATTTTGAATAATATGACTTGATATATTATATATTATTATAATAATCAATAATAAATTATAATAATTCATAACAAACAATCCTAAAAATTTTGAATATAAAATATGTAAATAAGTATTAAAATATAATTCTACAATTTCTATAAATTTATAATGTGCGTATTAAAAGTATTATTTACAATTAAATTATAATGAAATAAGCTCGAGAGTGATTATATTTTTTTAAGAAACAAAATATTCATTTAAAGTTGGTATTTAATTGTCACACGGAAAGAAAAGGTCTGGAAGAGATATCCATAAAAATATTGTTGAGCAGAATATTGTTGTGTTATCCAATTCAATGGATGAGGGAGCCATATTATATTGTTGAATCAAATATGGATGTGACATCCATAGTCATGGTTGGGCTTACAATTCATGCTATGGATTTTCACATATGGCTGCCTCATCCATATAAACTTTGGTTGGGAGATCCATAGTTAGTTCAAAATTTCGATACATGTTGCGTGCAATTCATTATCATGGCATCCATTTAAAAATGGACGTCTCAATTTGTCCTTCGCGTCGGTCTCCTGTCGAGTCTATATAATCGCGTTGTGAGTTTATTGTGTATAAATAATGTTATAATTGTTTATTATTTATTATCGTTATTGTCTATTAGTGTTTATGTAAATTCATTTTCATGAAATATGTGAAGAGTATATAAGGAATATCATATGCTCAAATATTGTAGTTGTGTGTATAGTGTAGTGGATAGCGTTAGTGTTTAGTATGCGTTAGGTCTAGGGTTCGTGTCTCCCCCCATCGGTTAATAATTTATTTCGTTAATATGCGGTTATTCAATAAGTGGTGTGTATTAATTAACAAAAATGTGTATACAATATCTCAAGTGACATTGAATTTAATTAATTGAGTGATTCCAATTTTTTGTTTCCCATTTCCATTACTATGGATCACTCAACCATAGATCTTTTGCTGCTCCAACAATATACAGCCAGCCATAGAATATGGATGCAGCAACCTTAACTATGGATATCCCGTATTTTTCAATATAATATGGCTGTGATATCCATGTATCTGGATGTGTCAACTATTCCTTTTTCTCCGTGCACAAATTATTTTAAATTTCTTACCAGATTTTCAAACTCCTCCATCGTAAAGGTGCGCGATACCAATGAAAATAAAAATAGTCACTTTCTCATTGAAAAGTAGTGATACCTGTACAAACTGTTTTATTTTTTATAATTTTGTTATTTAATAATTGATTTGAAATCGCTAAGAAAAAAATAAAAAAAATAAATAAATAAAAAATAAATAAAGAAAAATAAAAAAAAATAAAAAAAAAATAAATAAAAATAAAATAAATAAAAATAAAAAATACGTAAACAAAGTCAGTCAAAATTATTTCACGTGACGTTTACTGCCTGAGAGTTTGCGCATCTTTTCTGCGCATCATTTTCCGCGACTCGTCGACGAAAATTTCTATCAAAGTGTTACAATAATTCTACGACTATTTTCCGCTACTAAGTTTATAAAAAGTCCTCAACTTTTTTCAGAGAATTTCTGCTAAAAGCGAAGAGTATTTCAAAAAGTCCGTAAAGTTTTTTTTCATATCCGAGAGTCTTCAATTAGTAGCTGAAAACTTCAGCGACTAATTTTTTCCGTGTAGGCCTTATGTTCGCCTCTTGACCTAAAGTTATATTAAATATACCATAAATATACTATATAGGTCATTTAAGGCGAACTTCAGAGCACTGAATCCGGCGGCGAAATCTTTTTATTATATAGAGAGAAAAGTTTTTAAAAAATATTTTCTCCAACGCTTGCTCTGAAAGGAGTACTTTTCTTGGTAGAAAAGTGTGGCGAAAGTAGAACTTTTCTCAACTGCTCTGAAGAGCGTGGCGAAAGTAAATCATGATCTGATTCTTTTTTCTTGTTCTTTGACCAAGATATATTTTGTATCTAACTTCTTCCTTACTCAAAAAATTCGTCTTTTATTATATTAAACATAAGCACACGTTAAATTAAAATTATACGAAACTCACGAAGAAACCTTTCCTCGCAAGGCGTTGGAGAAAACGTAGTGCACAACACGTGGTGAAAGAATGATTTTTCGAGAGTGATTGCTGCTCTCGCTACTAGCAATGGCAAGTTTCCGAAACTTATTCGTTTGAAACTTTCACTTGAAAGTTTCAATGGAAAGTTTCAGAAATAATGAAAGTTTGATTTATTAAATATTTTTACAGATATTTTTATTAAAAAAGGTATATTTAGATAAATTAAACATTGATTTAATTCTTAAGAAAGATTTCTATAATAAGTTTATTTTTATGTATTTTTTTTAAAAAAAGAAAAAATTTTTAGTCAAACAAAACCTAAATATGACGTCACAGACCCTTTAAATTCAAATCTTTTATAATTTTTAATAATTTTTGTCTTTGAAATTCGAATATATATTTAAATAATTTCTAAATAGAAAATATTAATTTTTTATTTTTGAAA